TGGGGTGAGTGCCTTGTGGAACATCAGTGATGTTGATACGGGCAAGGTGTAGAACCTGTTTGTGCTGCCTTTGGAGCAGGGAGGATCCTCAGGTGTGTCAGCACAGCACGGGCCCCGCTGTCACCCTGGGGTGCTGTCCCCAGCACGGGCTGGCTCCGCATGGAAACGGGGCAGGACAAGCCCTGGTTGCAGTTTGGGATTTGAGTCAAATGAAGGGAGCATAAAGACAGCCCAAACCAGCTTTGAAGGGCAGACTTTGAGGGGTTTGCCCTCGGCTTGGGTGGTGAGATGCTTCACTCATTTCTTTTTAGATTCACCTTTAGCCAACCTTTGTTCCTGAACGCGTCTTTTCAAAATATTTGGAGTTGTTAGCCTTTGGTCACCTTTTGTGCAGCCTCCAGTGGGGAATCTGTGTGAGGATGGGGAGGTTTGGACCCTGTGGGGGTGTTCAGATGGTTGAGTTTTTGTGGAGGTTGGAAGATCTTGGAGCAGCTTTTGGGCTGTTTGGAGCAGGAGCAGCACGGCTCATGTTGGTGGTGATCTGCAGAAGCTTGGAAGGTTCAGGAGCAGAGTGATTTAATTGGTTTGGGGTGTTTGAGGCTGGCAGTGCCTCGGGCACCTGAGATGTTCCCTGAGGCCTGGGGGTTTACAGGGGCTCATTTTGGAGTCCATGTCCAGCTCAGCTCAAGGTGTCTGAGGTGCAGAACTGAAGCTTAAAAATGCATATTTCACAATTAGATGGTTTTTATGTTTATTAAACAATTGCTGCAGTAGGCTGGAAGCTGTTGTACAGTCCTTCCCTCTAACCTGGTACCAGGATGTTTTCCTGTCTCAGCAGCTGATCCCAAACATCCAAAAAAGAACAAGAAATCCCCCAAAACACCCAAAATCCCAAGAAAGTCCTTTTCCCAGTCTCCTAAAGCCACTTCTAAAAATCAGCTTTATGTAGAATTGCAATGCTTTTGACCCAACCCAAGCAAGTGTAATTTTTTTTGCAATAGTTTGTTTATTCAGTAGCCAGCAAAGACCAAAAAAAAAAAAAAAAGGCAGAATTAACTAATAGTTACCTCAAATGGTTTGTGATCCTTCTGTGCCAGATTACCCTGATCTTGATTGTTAAAGGCCAGAGCTCTGAAGCAGTGAATCATTAAGGTTTGGTATCCGCATGATTTACTATAAACAAGGTTTAAGTTCCAGCTATTCCCCTGGTTAGACTCTATCTTGAAAACTTAACCTCTGGCATCAGATCTGGTTTCTTCATTCAGGACTTGAAGGTTGTTACCAAACCAGTTTGTCCAAGAGGCTTTGGCATCTTGGGATTTGTTTGTTTGTTTGTTTTTTACGGAGCGTGGCTTCAGCTTGGTTTTCTGGGGGGGCTGGTGGAACATGTGTAGGATGATTTAGTAATTTTTTGAGTGAGCAGCTTGGTAGCAGGGATGGAGCAGTGCTTCCTCTGGCAGCTCAGAGCTGTGCTGTTGCTTCTGCTGAAATTTAGGAATTTATGTGTGGTGGGGGTTTTGCCAGTAGTTTGCACAGGAGCAGCTTTGGGCCTACTACTGGAGAATCAATTTGTGATTTTTTTTTTTTTATTTCCCTGAAAGCTGATTTATGTGTTTTTTGAAACCAGGTTGTCTGTGTTATAATTGATGGCTCAACTTTGCTCTCCTTCTTCTGGGATCAAACTTGCCTTGCCTTCCTACTGAATGGTTGATTAATTCCCCTGTCCCTGCAGAAGAAATACTATCGAGAGAAGCTGTGGAAAAACACTTATTACTTTGCTTAAAACTGCTTCTTGTTGTCTTGGTAACAATAAATTTATGGGGTGACTTAAGCTGCTACTGCATGAACAGGAGATACAAACTGCTGAAAATTCAAAGGCATGAAAAGATGGAGAAACCTCCAACTAAAAAGCCCATTTTGTTTCAGATGTTCTTAATTCCTTATTATTCTCTTTGATCTTTGAGGTGTTAAAAAGAAGGAGCTTAGATACCATTTATCACTTAAAAACTAAATTGAAGTAGAAAAATAAATGAAGAAATAATTAAGTGTGATTTTTCTTTAAATGTGGGAAAAAGCAGCTGATGAACCATGGCTGTTGTACTTCAGCTCTGGTAGATCTATATTTTTAACTCTTCAAAAGCTTCACTCATTCCTTTTTAGATTCACCTTTAGCCAACCTTTGTTCCTGAACGCATCTTTTCAAAATATTTGGAGTTGTTAGCCTTTGGTCACCTTTTGTGCAGCCTCCAGTGGGGAATCTGTGTGAGGATGGGGAGGTTTGGACCCTGTGGGGGTGTTCAGATGGTTGAGTTTTTGTGGAGGTTGGAAGATCTTGGAGCAGCTTTTGGGCTGTTTGGAGCAGGAGCAGCACGGCTCATGTTGGTGGTGATCTCCAGAAGCTTGGAAGGTTCAGGAGCAGAGTGATTTAATTGGTTTGGGGTGTTTGAGGCTGGGGTGAGAGCTGTGAACTCCAGGGCTGCAGTGACCAGGAGGGACAGGACACAGGGAATGGCTCCCACTGCCAGAGGGCAGGGCTGGATGGGATCTTGGGCAGGAATTGTTCCCTGGCAGGGGGGGCAGGCCCTGGCACAGGGTGCCCAGAGCAGCTGTGGCTGCCCCTGGATCCCTGGCAGTGCCCAAGGCCAGGCTGGGCAGGGCTGGGAGCAGCCTGGGACAGTGGGAGGTGTCCCTGCCATGGCAGGGGTGGCACTGGATGAGCTTTGGGGTCCCTTCCACTCAACCCATTCTGGGATTCAGATCATCCTCTTGGAATCCTTGCTGGCTGTGGATCTGTTCCTCTGCCAGCCAGGACCCTGAATTTCCTCAGTGCTGGGCTCCCACCCTCGGGCACTGGTTTGCCCACCCGGGGTAGCTCCTGCACACCAAGCTCCTTAGCTCTGTCCTGCACAAAAGGAAGATTTCCACAGCCTGAAAATGCAGCCACAGCACTGAGAGGGCTTTTCCTGGCCATTCCTCACTGCAGATCTTCCCAGCCCTGCTCAAGGTGCCCTGGCCAGGGGCAGTGTGGCTGCAGGGCTCGTGTCCAGCCCTGGTCACTCACCTCATTCTGCCCAAAATGATGGAAGACACAGGCAATTGTGCTCAGGGAATTCATGCATCTCGTGGCCTTCAGCCACAGCAATAGCCTGGAGCTCTGACTCTCACAAGTAATTCCTGGTCTGTATTTTTTGACCTTTCCTTTTCCTTGAGGTCAGCTGTCCATTCCAGCAGGCAGTACAGATCCTGTGTGCAGCAGCTGGTGGTGGGGACCACCCCAGCACTGCTGTGCACCCCACAATAATGAGAACAAGGATAAATAAGAACCAAGACGTTGCATTTTGAATTTATCTGGTAATTTTAGCTGCCCTGGTGACTTCAGTTGTATTCAGTCTTTCAACTTCTTACGTGTCCCTCTGTTACTTCTCCTTTCACTGACCTGACCTGCCATGCACTTGCTCTGTGGAAATACCAATGTTATTTATTGCAAATAAATATCCAGAGCGTTTTAGCTGAATCTGTTGCTCTCCCAGGTCTTTTATCCCAGGCTGGGATGTGTAGCAGTACAGTTTGGGGCAGAGAATTGTTGCTGGCTGGTCATCAGGTTCCTTTTCCCACTTTTTCCAAGTACATCCTTAATCCTTGAGGCACCGTGTGCATTGGCTTTTTTCTTCCAGAAAGCAATTTATGAAATGACTTGGATATAGTGCCAAAAAATCCCATTGGGCAATAGCATTGCTGCAAATCCCATATTAGTATTGCCAATTTTTTTTTTCTTGCAGTCAGTGGAGCAAATTTTTGAATAATTATGAAGATATTTGCGTAGAATTTGGTTTTAACCCCTGTGTTAAATCATGAGGAGTCAGACAATCCTGTGAAATGTTTGTGTCCACGTCAGTTTTGTAAGGCTGGGTGATCCCTTGGAGCTGTCATGTGGTGGTTTTAGAGCTGCTGAACTTCACATATAGTGACAAAAAGAGGAAAGAGCCTGTGTTTTTTTTTTCTTAAGTGGGGAGGGAAGACACTTGCCCAGCTGTAGACAAAAGAGAGAATCCTTTGAGTGGATGCAGTCTTCAAAAAGGAAAAATTCAGGAAGAATCCACCTGTATTTGAACATGAAGGTCTGGCTGATGTTCCTATGAAGTCGGTTTCAAAGGGGTTGTCACAAAAGGATTGTTTTGTTGTGCTGTAGAGGCGTGGGGCTGCAAATTTCCTTCTTATTCCTTACCTGTGCTTAGAGTTGAAAAAATATTTCCCTATTCAAACTTTTTCCTTTCGCTGGTGCCTGGATTCCTATTATTCAGTTTGCCTTCTAATTTATGCTTCAGGTATTTGTTTACTTTGCCAGTTCTTTGGTTACTGGTTCTATGAAATAAACGGCTCAGGTAGTCAAGAGAGGGAGATTTGCACCCTTGAGAAAATAATCACAAAAAAAGCCCCAACACCTCATCTGAAAAGAATGCTCAGGGCAAAAATTACTAATGTAGTAAATTACTCCTGTCAGCAGAGTCTGGGCAGGAGCGTGGGCTGTGCTCCTGTGCATTTCCAGGTTTTTCTGCTCTCTTCCCAAGCACTACCATCTCTGGCCATTATTCTTTCCTATCTTCCCCTCCCTGCAACCGTTCTAAATGCCTCCCTCTAATCCCCTGGCATTAATTGCACAATCTGAGGCGAGGTAGGTGTGTTGCTGGCAGCTCCCTGAAGAGAACAGCCCAGACATCTCTTGCCTTTGTGATGTCCCAGCACTGGTGTTACCGCTGCAGTCGTGATAGAGGCAACAGGCAGGCACTCAAGATGGCAGCAAAAATGATGAAATGCTCTTGTTTTGTAACCTTATACCAGGGAATGTTCCCCACAGTGTATTTCTTAACACTTGAAGCCTGCCTTGCTGAGAGGGCCTCAAGTCCCCAGTGGAGCTCGGGGTGGTTGGACAAAACTGAGCCTTTGGAAAACTCCAGCGATTAACCTTCTGTTAAATAAATAAATTCTCCTTTGCCTCCCAGTTTGCAGGAGCATGGACATCCGCAACAACCTGACCAGGCTGAACATGCTGGAGAACTGCACTGTGATCGAGGGCCACTTGCAGATCCTGCTGATGTTCAAAACCAAGCCCGAAGATTTCCGCGAGCTCAGCTTCCCCAAGCTGACCATGATCACAGACTACCTGCTGCTGTTCCGTGTCTACGGCCTGGAGAGCTTGAAGGGCCTCTTCCCCAACCTCACTGTGATCCGAGGGACTCACCTGTTCTTCAACTACGCCCTGGTGATCTTTGAGATGGTTCACCTGAAGGAAATTGGCCTCTACAACCTGATGAACATCACTCGGGGCGCCGTGCGCATTGAGAAGAACAACGAGCTCTGCTACCTGTCCACCATCGACTGGTCCAGGATTTTGGATTCTGTAGAAGACAATTACATCGTGGCCAACAAGGATGACAAAGAAGAGTGTGGAGATGTGTGCCCAGGCACCGTGAAAGGGAAGAGCAACTGTCCCCCCACGGTGATAAACGGGATTTTCATCGAGCGCTGCTGGACGCACGATCGCTGCCAGAGAGGTGAGTGCACGGTGAGGGGTCTCAGCTGGGGCTTTGACCTGTCAGGACCTGTGAGACCCTGGAACAGAGTGCCCAGAGCAGCTGTGGCTGCCCCTGGATCCCTGGCAGTGTCCCAGGCCAGGCTGGACAGGGCTTGGAGCAGCCTGGGACAGTGGGAGGTGTCCCTGCCATGGCAGGGGTGGCACTGGATGGGCTTTGGGGTCCCTTCCCACAAAAACCACTCTGGGATTCTTGGAGGCCTGACAGGTCCCTGCTGATTGCTACCTGTGAACACAGATTCCTAAAAGCAGGGCTGAAAATTTGCCTTAGAAGAGGAAGAGAAAACCTTTGGGATGGGTTTGAGCAGTTCTTCCACCTGTGTTTGTAAGGCATCCAGAATTCTGTGTTTGGCTCTCCTGCAGAGTCAGGAGCTGCCCAGAGCTCACCAGCTTAACAGACTGTGAGTGTCTTGGGTAATAGCTGGTACTCTGAGTGTCTTTATTGGGGTTTGGGGAGGGAATGAAAGTCCAGACTGAGAGGCTTCAGCAGGTGGAAGCACAACAGTGGAGAAAAGTCTCAGTGGAATAAAGCCCATTCTGGAAAGGTGCAATTCCATCTTCCAAACCTTCCTGCCACAAAAAGGTCTAAGATCTGTGGGTGGGTGAGCAGCATTTGCACAGAGAAAAAGCTGGAAGTCAGACTGAGAAGAGAGGACCTGGATGGGGTAGAGGGTGAAATAACAGAGCTTTGAGCCCAGGGCTTTGGTTCAGGGCAGAAGCTGTGTTCAAAAAGCTCACTGCTGTTGCCACCCCAGTGCTCCCTCAAATGTTTTAGAGTTGCTTTTAATTTCATACAGATTTGTTTTTTTCCAAACTTGGAACTGACCTTAAGCTTAGCTTTAATTATATATTGGCTTTGATTTATGTTAAATCTGACTTGACGGGGAGCAAAGTGAATTGAGGTGAGAGTGACACATTTAGGGTTGTCTGCCTTTCTGGAGGTCGTGCATCCAAACGAAGCAGTGTGGCCTGAGACGAAATTAGGAAACTTGTGGGCTGGAGAGAAATTCTTGCCAAGCTTTAAAGGGCAGCTCTGAGTGCTAAGTGCCAAATTTGAGGAGGAATTCCTACCAGTATGCACAAACTAATGCAATTAATGTGGTTTCCCCTCTGCTACTCCTCACCCCAAAATCGTCCAGCTTCCTTTTAAAGAAAGTGGTTATTTTTTGTGGCCAGAATAACAGGGTATGAGCAAGAAGATGCAAGTGTGTACGTGTGTTCCTTTTTTAAAATGAAAAATAAGATTGTAAAGCATTTTATTTATAAACTTTCAGGTATGCAGTTACATCAGCACTGAAACCTGGTTTCTTATGCATTTCATGTGCTGTGTTTTCTGCTGTTTCATAAGGGTAGAGTCTAATTGACACTTTTTTAGTGCCTAGAACATAATGCCCCAAAATCCCTGTGAATTTTCTGGGGCTGTCTTGCAGCAGACTGGAATGGATGGTTCTCTCTCCTTTAAAAAAACTGCCTATTTCCATGAAACCTGGAGAAATGTAATATTTTAATGAAAATATTTTACCACTGGGACAGAAATTTGAGCTCCTGAGCCTCTGATGCAAGAGTTTGTTGGAGGGCACCTGTCCAGTACCTGCCTCTGTTTGACCCAGAAAATGAGATGTTAATCAGAAAATGGGTTCAAAAGGCACTATACACAGATGCTCTGGTTTTGTGTGTCCCTTGCAGAAGGAACAGTAGGGAAGCCATGCTCCTGAATATTTGGGCAGTGACTGGAATGCACTTCCCAAAGCACTTAACAAGCCAGGCTTATCTTTGTTTGAACGCTGGGATTTGGACTTTAGTTTTTTGGTGGCCGCTGTTGTGCACAGGCTGGGATCTGTGTGATCCCGTGCCTTGTGACACCTGCCCCTGTGCTTCTGCTGTTGTTTTGACAGCCTGAGAGGTTTTTTAGCCCTTTTTTGTCTGTTTGTGAGTAGCCTTTAGACTCTGAGCACACGCCAGTGGTGGAGATTAAGTGACATTTATTTAGCGAACCTGCCGGTGCAATCGCTGCCTCTCTGTTCTCCTGCCAGCCCTAATGTATCCTTAGCATGTGTAATTGTTTTGTCAAGATTATTAAAAGCTTGTGTGAATTGTATTTTGGCTTTCCTTAGCCTGAAGAGCCTTGCAGCAGCTCCCAGTTGTTGCAATGTATTTGCAAGGGTGCATAGTGTGCACCAGCCAAGCTGCTTCTAAGTTGTCAAAGCCTCAAGAATTGGTCAAAGCTATTAGGACAAAAATTGTACTAAATTAAGGAAGAAGAGGCTGAGAAACCGAATACCAAGACTGCAAAAAGTAGCTAACAGAAAACTGTAAAACACCTAAACTATAACAAATCATATACTCCAAAAAATACAAACAAAAACCAAGTGAACAAAACAAAAACACCAATCAAAAAGTGTGTATATGGTAGCTTATAAAATCTATAAAAGTGTAATAGAAGCAATAAACAGCTTCTGCTTGATCATATTAGTTGTTCAAAAGTCCTACATTTTCCACAATACCCAGTACCCAGGGTATTAATGTCATGAAATCTTTCCCTCTGTGTTTCTGCAGCTTATCTGGGAATCTTCACAGTTCATGTTGTGCTCAGGTCTCCTGCCTCTCTGGATTTAAGTGTATTCTCTTTAATTTTTTCTCTTTGTCTTCTAACCAGAATGAAATGCAGCAATTTCAGTATCATTTTCAGAGGGAAGTTTGGTTTTGTGTGGAGTTTTTAACCCAGGTTATTTGTACCCCTGGTTTGTTTAATGAAACTTGGTGTAGAATCTCCTGGTTCTGGTTTTTTTTTATTTATTTTTATTTTTAATTTTTTTGCATCTCTGGATGGGAAGTTGTTGCTGTCTAAACTGCTGCCCTGGGACTGGGAAAAACCCTTCAAGGATATGTAAATATTGATTGTTTTGATTTTACAGAGTGGGTGTCAATTGACAGAGCCAAGTCCCAAGCTGACCGGCTTTTCCAGCTTGCTAAGCTTGGAGTCTCGCTGGAAAATATTAGGAAATGGGCAAGAAATTTGGGAGTGCACCTGTGGGAAGGCTGGAACATGAACTCCCTGACAGGAGGGGATGGGTCTCTTCTCCCAGGGATAAGGGACAGGATGAGAGGAAATGGCCTCCAGTTGCTCCAGGGGAGGTTTGGATGGGAAATTGGGGAAAACTTCTTCATGGAAAAGGCTGTGAAGCTCTGGAAGCTTGGAGTCCCCATCCCTGGAGGTGCTCGAAGGCAGTGAGGATGTGGCACTTGGGACAGGGGTTAGGGATGGGCACAGTGGTGGTGCTGGGGTTGGGCTTGACCTTAAAGGTCTTTCCCAGCCTCGAGGACTCTGGGATTCTCAGAAAGGTCTTGTGTGTGTGGGAAGTGCAAATTTGGGGCTGGAGATGGGGCCCCCATCTCTTCCCCACCATCCCTGCCCTTCCCCTGCCAGCTCTCTGTGGTTGCTCCACATTATCCCTCCTTTATTTAATTATTCCTTTATTTAATCAGTGCAAATATCCCACTTGACTCCAAAACTAACTTTTCAGTTATAGCATGGAATTATCTCCAAGGCACACATCCAAGCCTCTGAATCATCCCCGTAGCTACAATTCCAGCCTGGAATTTTGTTGTTTTTTTTTTTTTTTTTTTTTTTCCAGTTGGTGATAACAGTGTTCAGGACAACAAAGTAAAGGATCTTCTTACAGACACTGGAGCAAAGGTTGGGGATGAAACCAGTGGGGAGGAACTGAAATCATTTGAAAACCAGTGGCAGTATAGAGGATTCTGTGTCTGAGTGCAGGGATGTGTAGGTGGATGCACCATGGATTGAGATCTGTTGGGATATGCTTCCTCAGAGTTTTCTTTTTTTTTTCTCCTCAATCACTCATGTTGGTGTGAAAACCAAGTCAGTTCAGTTAAGGCCAACTCATGTTATATTTTGGGTAGGCAGGGAGGGAAATGTGTAGTCTGTTTGGAATTTGGGTCTAGCCTGATGCTGTTTATGGCAGCCAAGTGCTGTTCCTGTTCTGGGGGTTTTGTACCTCTTCGCTGACATTTTTAACAGGGTTTTTTTTCACATACACAGTTATTTTATTGCCATCAAAATGTACTTCTTGGTCCTGCACTGCAGAGAGCGTCTTTGCTGAAGAATGCAGACAACAAAAATGCTGGAAATGCCACGTCCTAGACCTCGGTCTGGATCTGCCAAACATGATTTTCATATTTTGCATTTTTTCCACGTCTTTTTTTTTTTTTTTTTTCTATATGTCTGTCACTCCTCTTGCGGAAGGAACAATTCCCTCTGAAATAGGATTTCCTGCCAATTCTCCCTGCAGCCAGGCTGCTCTGTCCATACAGAACTTGGAGCAGGCTGATGGGTTTGACAGTCTAATTATAAAGGCTGGTTCAGCCTTTTATTGCACGTGGGGTCATGTGGAAGTGGAGTAAGGCAATAGGAAGGAAAAGTGGAATGGCCAAATAAAAGTTACCAACAAAATTATCTGCAATATCAGACAGTCCCTTGGTGAACACTGAAGGGCCACATTCCTGGGATATAAGCATGGATATCTGAAATAGTTTTTACAGGGCCAAGTAGTGATAGGAAAAGGGGGAATGGCTTTAAACTAGAAGAGGAAATATTTAGGCCAGATGTTAGGGAGAAATTCTCTACTCAGAGGGTGGGCAGGCCCTGGCACAGGGTGCCCAGAGCAGCTGTGGCTGCCCCTGGATCCCTGGCAGTGCCCAAGGCCAGGCTGTGCAGGGCTGGGAGCAGCCTGGGACAGTGGGAGGTGTCCCTGCCATGGCAGGGGTGGCACTGGATGGGCTTTGAGGTCCCTTCCACTCAACCCATTCTGGGATTAATTCTATAATTTTGTGAGCTGTAGGCCTCATTCATTAGAAAGTAAGATAGAATTCAAGTTCTCTTGTTCATCCTGAATGAAACCTTTGTAGGAATCTGTTACCTGCTTCATCCTGGGGCTTCTTGCTACCAGGAAATTTGAGTTATTATCAGTGTGGGCCATTTCAGGTCTGTCAATAGGCTCTTTTTTTCCATCTGTTATCTCATTCTTTTATGATAAAAACAAAAGTTGTTTCTCCATTAGTGCAATTTAGAATTTGTGGCAAAATATTGACTTTGTGGAAAGTAGATTAAACAGTTTGTGTCCATTGAAGAAGACATAAAGCAGCAGATGGAAAGGATGACAGTGTGGAATAATTGACATGCAAAGAGCTGCTAAAGAAAAGTTCTGTGTGAAAATAATAATGTTTTTCCTGGTTTTCAGTGGGATTTTTGGGGTGGTTCTGTGCAGAGCCAGGAGCTGGACTCGATGATGCTTGTGAGTCCCTTCCAAATCAGGATATTCTATGATTTATTTTTTTTTCTATCATGTTGGGAAACAGCTCTAGAGACAAAGGG